CAAATGAGCACAGATATTGTGTGAAGCACATGTATGAGAATTACAAGAAGATATTTAGAGGGCCTTAATACAAAAAAATCTATGGTTTGCAGCTAGCACTGGAAGTCTGAGGTCATGGCAGAGGCAAATGGAAGGCATCAAGAGCTTTGATGAGGCTGCTTACAACTGGATTATGCAGTGACATTCATGTAATTTCCATGTTTACGTTTATGTTTTAAATTAGTTTAGATTGATTGTTACCTTGGAAATTACACGCTTTTGGTGTAATAGTTTGATTTGTAAAAATGTTTGTAATTTGTTTAGATTAGGTTTATACTGAGCTCAAACAGGTCCTAGATCACTCTAGGGACCATTGGTGAACATCACAAATGGATGAAAGGTGCAAAAATCTCAAGACAAATTGAAGAGTATGATTTTTGGTGTTGTATCCGGTCGGGTATGACCTATACCCGATCGGGTACCTTGTTGAAAAATCAAATCGGATCGGATCCGGGACAAGGCAACATGTAGGAAAATATTTGACCACGTTCGAGTGTCATACCCGATCGGGTGACCGACATACCCGATCGGGTATGCCCAACTTTTCGAGCGTCCGGGAAGCCACTGAAGGTACCCGATCGGGTGCCCTTGATGCCCGATCGGGTACACACCCCTGCATGCTCCAAAAACCTATAAATACTCCCCTTTCCTTCCCACAAAAAGCACCAATTCACATATACTTCTTAGCTCAGTTTAGACAAGCTCTTTCTTTATATTTTCTTCATGTTTAGTCTCTAAATGAGGAGCTAAACTCTTCCATCTTGGTTTTGCTACTTTGAAGCTTAATGAATTTGTAAGTTGTGTGTTATTTTCTTTAATCTTCTTCCTTGAATATTAATTATTTCCTATTCATATTCCATATTAATATTTTGAGCATTACTTAAAGGATCAACTAGTTTTGTTTCATATATTAATTATTACTAGAATCAATCGATTAATACGCTTGTTATTAATTCGGTTCTTTCAACGGTAGTAAAACTTGGATTATTAATGCATGCGTCTCATGGTTAATAATCTAAGGGAAATTAGTTATATTGATTAAACCAATAAACCGCTTGTGTTGAGGTTATCAATCTCAATCGTTTTCATCTTAAGTTTATTGCTACTATCGGGCTAATATACGACGCTTGTTCTATATTAACTCGGTAGTAAGTTTTATTAATGAACGTGTCTCATTATTAATAACTACCCTCGATGAACTGGATATACTCCTCGATTGAGTATTTGAGAGGAAGATAGTTATGAATCTGTACTTCCTTTCCTTGCATCAAAACTTTCCTTGTCTGCCGGCGAATACGGGATTGTCTCTGTCGGAATCGAGGTCAGATCAAGACTGGTAGCATTCATTATAAAGATCTCCGGGGAAACCGCTAAAAAAAGATTGAACATGTTGAGAGGATCCGAACGAATTCTGCTAGTAATCGCGGATCAGCATGCCGCGGTGAATATGTACCCGGGCCCCCACCCGAACCATTCTTAAGACCACCAAGCTCTCTCGAATTAGTTCTACTCTTAAGACCACCGGGATCGACTAACATTTCATTAAGTGGATAAAAGCAAAACCAAGTCCTCATCTCTATAAATTAAACTCATATAAGTCGTTCATCTTAGTGTTAATTAAATTAAATCAAATCAAACTTAAAACCCCCCTTGTTACTATTCATATAAAAGAAAAGTATTCTTTTCCCTGTGGATACGAACCTTACTTCACTATACTACGTATTAGTGTTATATTGATTAATTATTTTGAGTGCATTTCACGACAAAGTGCACGTCAAATTTGGCACCGTTGTCGGGGATAGGCAATTATTTTTTCTTTTATTGTATTTCAAGAAAAAAAATATTAAATAAAAATATAAAGAGATCTTATTTGTTCTATTTCTGAGCTTGGTGAAGTATATGGTTAAAAATCGTTCCATAAACGAAATCACCTATCAAAAAAACCCGGAAATAGAGCAATCTTTCGAGCGGTTGAAAAATAAATTTTCTAATACCGACTCGGAGGAATTATCTACCGGAGATACAACCAGCGCTAGTTCTCATTCTAGCGAGACCGAAGAGCCAATAACTATGGCTCTCGAAACAAGAACTTTGAGGGAGCTCACAGCTCCAAACTTGAATCAACAACCGTTATGTATTACCTTCCCTACACTCGATGATGGTAATACATTTGAGCTAAAATCTGGGCTCATACATCTACTTCCATCCTTTCATGGCCTAAGAGGAGAAGATCTGAACAAACACCTTTCGGAGTTCCATATTGTGTGCACAAGCATGTGCCCCAGTGGTGTCTCGGAAGAACAAATCAAATTGAGGGCTTTTGCATTCTCCCTCAAAGACACTGCAAAGGATTGGCTATTCTATCTTCCTTCGGGAAGTATAGACACATGGGCGGCAATGAAAAAATGCTTCTTGGATAGGTACTATCCCGCCTCCATCTCATCTTCTTTAAAAATACAAGTAAGCAACATTGAGCAAAAAGAAGATGAAACATTGTATGAATATTGGGAGTGTTTAAAAAAGTTGTGTGCTAGTTGCCCATATCATGGATACACCGAGCAAGACCTCATCCTCTATTTGTATGATGGTCTTGCGGATCAAGATAGGCGCATGGTGAATGCGGCATGTGGAGGAGGAATTGTTAACAAAACCCCTTCTCAAGCAAGGAATCTCATCTCGGAGTTGGCCGAGAACTCCAGACATTACAGTGGGCGATCCTCAACTCGAAGGGTTGCCGCAGCAGAATCCAACACCTCGTTGGAAAACCAAGTTGCCGGTTTGACCTCTCTAGTCAAAGAACTTCTTTTAAAGCCAAAGACTCAGGAAGTCAAAACTTGTGGCATTTGCACATCAACCGGGCACCCCACTGATTCGTGCCCATCCCTCCAAGAAGAGGTATGATCCATTTTCAAATTCTTACAACCCTGGATTGCGGGATCATCCTAACTTGAGGTATGGAAACCCTCAACAATCCAACTCATCTTCTCAATCTAGTATGTCAACTGATGACATGATCCGGGCTTTGACCTCAAACATGGTTACCATGTAACAAAATATGGACAATTTCAACAAACCATGATACAATTTCAACATGAGACAAGGTCAAACATTAACAATTTGGAAACTCAAGTTAGTCAAATTGCAAATACCGTGAACCGACTTGAAACGAAGGACTCGGGTAAACTCCCATCTCAAACGGAGCAAAACCCGAGACAACATGTGAATGCCATCATGTTGAGAAGTGAGGCGACATGGAAGGAGGTAGATCAAGAAATTGAGGAGGTGGACCCTGAAGAAGAAGTTCAGTCGGAGGAGGGGGTCACAACAGCCAAGCTCCCTCCACTTTCATCATATGAACAAGTAACCCCGTTTCCAGAGGCGCTGAGAGAGACAAAGAAGCCGAAGAAAGATTTTGACATCTATGAGACTTTCGCCAAGTGTGAAGTAAACATTCCGCTCCTTTACTCAATGAAAAGTGTTCCTCGTTTTGCTAAATTTTTAAAAGAATTGTGCAAAAAAGGAAAAATAAATTGAAAGAGAAACAAGAGGTTAAGGTTAGTGAACATGTCTCAGCTATTTTCCAAAATAAACTCCCCGAAAAATGTAGTGACCCAGACATGTTCACTATTCCTTGCACGATAGGGGGCACCACATTTCCTAGGGCCTTGTTGGATTTAGGGGCATAAATAAATGTCATTCCTTATTCCGTTTATAAATCCCTACAACTTGGCCCACTACATCAAACCGGTGTAGTAATTCAACTAGCGGATCGTTCTAGTACTTACCCGAAGGGTGTGATAGAAGATGTGCTAGTAGAAGTGGAAAATTTGGTTTTCCCTGTCGACTTGTATGTCCTCGAAATGGGAAATGATGATCAAATAACACCTATCATGTTGGGTAGACCCTTCTTAAAGACCTCAAAAACTAAAATTGACGTGTCTAGTGGTTCATTAACCTTAGAATTCAATGATAAAAAAGTAGAGTTCAATATCTTTGACTCTACGAAAGACCAAATTAAAGATCACTCTTTGTGCTCTTTAAATATTTTTGAACCACAGGAACCGATATTTTTGGAGAAATCTTATAAAATCCCAATTTTTCAAGAAGAGGAGAAAATTGAGCATAGAAAGTCATCGTTGGTTGAGATGTTGACAAGAACGAAAGTTCGGCCTTACTGGAAAAGGCCGAAAAATAAAAATGAAAAATGGCCAAATAGGGCCTTGAAAATGAAACAAGGGATGCTCATGATCCCACATAAAAAAAAAGTGAATAACGTCGTGCCGCGACGTTAAATAAGGCGCTTCTTGGGAGGCAACCCAAGTTTATATTTTGTTTATTTTCATTCATTTTTGTGTGTGTTCTTACATTTCAAAAAAAAAAAGGAGATCGAGGGAATGATACCAGATCGGGCAACACTCTCTACCCGGTCGGGTATAGGCAAAAAATTGAAATAGGCCTGGATCGGGTAACCCATGCTCGATCGGCTCAGGGGTTGAAAATAATAACGTACCCGATCGGGTACCACTACCCACCCGGTCGGGTATTGTTCAAAAAATTCAAAAAAAAAAATCTCGTAACAACTTACCCGATCGAGTACCCGGCCTATTCGATCGAGTATCAACCCCTGGGCTGAATTTAATAAAACAAACACATACCCGATCAGGTGTACACATGTACTCGGTCGGGTGTATTTTGAAAAAGGATGATTTAGTTCGTGGCAAACTACCCGATCGGGTACACCCATACACCCGGTCGGGTAAATTAAATTTTTTCCTGGGAATTAGTTCGCACCAAATCGCCCGATCGAGTATACCCCAACTCAATCGGGTAGGATCCCGGATTTTGAAGCAATACACGCATACCCGATCGGGTATGTTGGGCCACCCGATCGGGTACACCAACTTTTAACCCAAATCGGACCCCAAAATCGGCCACTTCATCTTCTCCAACTTCCCAAATAGGAAACCCCTCTCCCAAACCCACCATTTTTGAACCTTCTTTCTTCAATTTCCCCCTCATCTCTCACCCAAATCGCCTCATACAACTACCAAAATCTTCCCCTCACTCTCCTCTACAACCTCATACCCACAAAACCATATATCTCTCTCCATATACCACAAAACCCGAAACTCTGCCCATCTCACCCCTTCTCCGAAAATCAAGCTTCAACAAGCACACCAATGGCACCCAAAAGAGACAGGGCTGAGAGTTCAACTGCAAGGGGACCAATTCCCGGATTTGAGGACGTCCGGTTCGGCCTGGGGAATCAAAGGCAACGGTTCTTGGCTCAAATAAAAAGGCAAGTAATCCCCTCCAAATTTCTATGTCATGATACTCTCACTGCTTTAGGCCTGTTGAAAAAAATGCGCAATTTGTTTCACGAGTTGGATATGAACTTGATTTTTGATATGAAGTATAATTGTAATGAGAGGGTGATATAGCATGGTTTGTATTTGATCTCTTATATATATATGTGTGTGTGTGTGTGTGTGTTTTAATTTTTTAATATGATTTTTTTTAATTTTTTTTAAAATAGTTACTTTTTAATAAAAGTTTCTAATTAATTTTCATTTCATTAACCGTTTAGAAACATTTTTATCTTGTTTGAAATATTTTTATCTTGTTTGTCATAATTATACTTTTTAGGAAAATTTCAATTTTTTATATTTTTATAGAAATTATATAATAAAATTACAATACATAAACCAAACTTTCAACGTTTTTACAATTTCCCATATTTTAAACTTTTTATTGCTTTTTTTCATGTTTTTTTACATTTTTTATATGTTTTTATTTTTCTGATATTTTTTTAAATTAAATTCATATTCAATTATTTTCAAGTTTAATTTACTAGTTACCATTTTTTTCCTTCTATTATATTTTTTTGAGTTTTTTTGTTATTATTTAAAATTAAATTTCATTTGAGAGAAGTTTATTGTTGTATAAGCATATTATATAGTAGAATCTTTACGTTTTCCTATTTAAAAACAAAAAAACAATACCTCCTGCACTTTGTATTACGAAAGCCGAAAGGTGAGTAAAGATTCCATGCTTAGGTGTCAAATGAATCTAGTCTAGTAAGTTCAGTGTGTGTCATACGGAAGGTAATGTCTATTTATGAAAGAAAACCTTTACGTAGTTTATATTTGAAAAAAAGTCTAAGGATAGAAAAAAGTGATATTATTTCAATTTTAAGACTAATTGTGATATTTTGCAATTTACAAGATTCTATAACTTAAAATCTGACATTACAATTTTGCAATTTACTCTTCCATTGCATTCCCAGAAGTTCCTTCCATTTGTTTATGGGATTTTGCTTTGCTCTTGCCTGTAAAAATAAAAGCATTTTTAGAGAAACAAACTTTCAGTGCAATCTCTATTTGTTAGCCACGATATTCTAAATAAGTAGTTTTTTACATTGGAATTCCTAATGTTCTTGCTGGCTTCTCCGACCTTCCATGATTTGATTAAAACATGGAAGAAGTTAGGAAAGGGTGATAAAACAACTCACAGGACCCCGACTCTTACATTGATGCCCGTGTTTACGGGTGCATCTGCATTTATCTTTAGTCATCCCTGTAACACTCCGATTTTTTTTTGAGCTAGTTATATTAATCAATATTATTTATTTTAGTCAATTAAATAAGTTTCTTCTATGACTAATGTGATTGTATTATTATGTTTTGTTGCGGCAGGTAACACTGACTGGTAAGCTCATACTAATTTTAATTGAAAAAAAAAGATACTATTTTGATATTTATTTATAATATAGTTGGATCAGATTCTTTTAGTTAGGCCAGAAACATTTTTTTTAATTAGAAGACTAAGAGGTCCAAATCAGTCATCTTGGCCCGAATCAGTATTTGACTAAAATCCCTAGAAGCAGATATATACTTCTACACGTATCCAACAATTGAAACCCTTGCCAGGCTCCATTCTATTTCACCCGTAAACTACTCCCTCAGTAGCAAGTTTTCTTCTCATCCAACTTCTAATTTTGTTTCCGCCAAAGCTTAATCGGATTCCTGTTTTCAGCCCTTAGCCGGCCTTACTACAGGAGGTATTCACGGAACTTCTTTTGTTAAACAACGTAACTCTTTAATATTTTCTTGAATTGTAGTGGGTTGGTTTTGTTATTCATGTGCGTTGATTCCCCGTTTCATATTTACGTATCTGTTGTATCTCAAGTTTGTAGTGGGCAGAGTTCAAAATTGGCCTTGTTAATTATTTTCAGCTTGTAAATCATATTGCAGATTCTGATTTTTATTTTCTTTATTAAAATCATACTAGTTTGGGGTTAATCGTTTTACCTCTTAGTGTAAAATCTGGAATCAAAATCCCTACTACAATAAAGTGGTGTTATTAATCATTATAAGTCTTCATGAACTACTTTCTTAATATGGTAGATGTTTTATTCTCCTCTCTACGGGCCTGTACTAAATTTATTTTGAGAAGATTGTAAGACGTGTCTATTTAATTCTTAGGCTGATTTTCTTTTAGTGAATGGACAATAACTTTATGTTCTGGGTGAAAAATTATTCCAAGAGCAGTCTTTTACCAAATTTTTTACTTCAGAACTTTAAGAAAGAATATCAAGTAAAAGTTCTCGGTTTTGATCATGCGTCTAGTTCATACATTCATTTAAAGATTTTAAAGAAGAGCTTAACGGAAGACGTTATAAGGTGCCACACTTAACTGAGTATTTTAGATTCAACCGTTAATAGGTAAGTTCACTACCAACTGTACATGTTTGTTCAACCAAATGAAAGGAAGAAGTCCGGTTGATTTTTAATAGATGATTTTGAGACTATTTGCTATTATGTGAACTTGGTGAATTATTTGATGAGTTATTTTATTTGTCATATTTAGTTATGTTTATCATTCTGGCATAGTCAAGATTATGTCAGTACGTAATTTCAAGATTTAATGATGTTTTTTATCCAAACGTCACCATAAAAAGAACTAATAATTAAAGTGAAAGATTTAGTGATATGTACTCGGGAACAAGTTCCCACAGAGTTACCAGTTATCAGTTTCAGAGAATCCGATATGTTTAGTGCGTCGCTCCCCTGAGCTGTCAGATTGGCGCCTTTGAGTACATATCATGGGCCCACAATTAAAATTAGCCACAAAGAAGTTTTACAGAAAGTTTATGAGATCCCTTTCAGAAAGTTTTACAGAAAGTTATTTTTGAGATCTCTTTTAGAAAGTTTTGCAGAGATGTGTCAGAAAGTATTTGAGATTTCTCAGAAGTTTTTAAGAAATTATTTAAGAAAGTATTTTCGTTTGAGATCTCTTTCGAAAGCTACTTGAGAAGTTATTAGTGAATTGTTTGTTTAGTGCATGCTTATAGCCTAAATTTGTCTATTGATAAATTAGCATAGACTTCTCAGATATTTTTCTAGATCCATAGTGACTTACCAAGCGTAAAGCTTATAAGTTTTCTGTCTTCGCATGTACGGATACTAAAGGTAAGGCCAAGGCCTAGGAAGATGATGAGGGAGTGGAACGCGTGCCAAGATGAGTTGACGGGAATGACCTTGGCGACTTCTAGCTAGTTATTATTTTATTTCAGTATTTCAATTGTTACAATAAAGAGATTATTATTACTTTATTTTATTTAAGGATTGAAGTTTCAGTAAATTCCTGGATCCAGGTGGTTATCACATTTGCTGGTGATAACTAGATTTTTATTAAGTTTTATTTTGGAGTTATATTTCAGTTATATTTGAGTTTTTATCAGGGTTATTTCTTAAACAAACGACTGTTATATTGCAGTTTTTTTTTAATAGTAAGTTTATGTAACGTTTCCTTTAACCCTGAGAGGGGCATTACAATCCTCTTTCAGGTTTCTTCCAACCATGTGCTGCCCCGTCCCCCGGTTCCTTACTCCTAGTATTCCTTAGCCGTGTTGCATGCCATCTAGCTAATAGCTGCTCCCTTGCCATAACATAAGTGCACGCAAAAGGAATTCCCTTCCATGTCACGCCCCAGACTGTATCTGAGCGCATGTACAATCGACGTACCATCAACTGACGTCACCCTCGAGTCACACTCACCCGATTGTACAAAGCGTCGTTGAACATTGTACATAACATACTCAACAAGTAAACATACATAACAACGTCACAATATATATTGAATGAATAGCGAAAATATTCAATAGTCAATCATGGGCCACATATGGCAAACGTGGGCTCACAGTCCCAAAACAATGTATTTGTTACAAAACATCCATGAGCTTAGTTTATCGTTTGAAAACAGTAAAGGAAGCATGGACCACGTCTTCCTTGAGATCACTTCACCGGGCAAGGGTGCGGATAACAAGATTTAGCTTCAACCTGAAATGGTGGGGCCCCAAAGGGGTGAGTACGCAAATAATGAGCTAACAGTAGGCTGAATGTAGTATAACTAACGTTTCAAGTAAAAGACCCAAACATAGGGTGAGACATACACATATATTCCTTTTCCCCATGTTATGAAATACATATCAGTGTACACACTTGAAAACTACGGTAGTTTTCAAGTGTGTACAGGACCTTGTTTATTTGGGAAAAGGTAGTAGGACCTTGTTTATTTGGGAAAAGGTCGTGGTTAAGGTCTTTGAAAACTACAGTAGTGTTCAAGTGTGTGCACACTTGAAAACTACGGTATCCGGCCCGCAGGTCATTGTTTATTTCGGAAAAGGTAGTGGTTAAGGTACTTGACTTAAAATCTCACGCCACCCATATACCTATGAGTGTATAGGACTCCTCCTGGTCCAAATCAAGTATCATGAGGACACCACCCGGTCCTGAATTAGTAAACTGTAATCTATGAGTTTTGATGACACCACCAGGTCCTTGGGTACTCCACCCGATTATATTCTGAGTTTTGAGGACACATGCCCAGTCCCTGGGTATTCCACCCTACATAACCGAGTTTTGAGGATACACGCCCGATCCTTGGGTACTCCACCCGATCTATGATCTACTATATATCATACTAGATAGGATCTATATCATAATCAATAATCAAGAATAAAAACTAAGTCTTCAGACCTAAGCATAATCATCCATGAATAATCATTTCAATATGACCTTAAGTTGTATTTCTCGCACTGTTTTAATTAAATAATATTTGATTCGGACAAATAAAATATATTTCACATTCCCAATCACTATGGGCCTTTAGAATGCTTATAATTCTCCAAATTTAATTTAAGTCCCCATAATTTATTACGGGCTATTATATGCCGAAATACTGATACTCATATTTGGGCCCTATTTGACCAACTGGTCAACTCTATGCCTTTTCTATGGCCCGCACCATATACATATTATCTAGACCAAGATGAATATCATATGTGGTCCCGGGATATCGGGCGGTCCCCGCTCTCGGTGTGGGCCCCACGTGCAATTTACTATTCACGCAAAAGTACTACAAAAATTTACAACCTCGTAAATTTAATAACCATTTCTCAAGGTTCAATACATAATTTACACAAAGGTAAATATACTTGGGGAGAGTGTTACATTCCATATTATGTCATTTCGTTATTTCCTGATACTCCATAATGTTACCACAAAAATACAGCAACTCACTGTATCTACCCTTTCAAAATATTCTTGTATCCACTCTAACATAGTCCTACTTATTCTGCTATAACGAGCTCCTAGTTTTGTCCATACCTTTTGTACTCCCTCACACTTTTAAAAAAATACAGGTTTGTTTCTTCCCTTTTTACTGACTTTATACATTGCTCCCACGTCCACTCTCTAAAACCTAAACATAGTCAAACAAACAGTAATATAGTTAGACAAGCAATAATATAGCATAATCATATCAAGTTCTTAATAATTAAAAAACAAAGTTATATAATCAATAATATAGCATAATCTCCACCTTTTGACTCTCTCCTGTCATCTAAAAAATAATTAGCAAAATAAAAGTTATTCCTACCGTGCCAAATCATTCTAAATATAATTCTAAATGTAAAAATAAAACATGTTGCTGATTATTACTTCATTAATCAAAGTTTTGATTCAAGAAAATGATTGACTTCAATGCTTCATTGAGCATAATGACATGTATACATTCATGTATAATAAAGTTTAGTGATTAAAATTTCAATAATAAATCTAACAAATTCACTATAATCAAGTAAAATAGTCAACATTAAATAGAGTCTAAAACTCATAAAACACTAAGGTACGTTAACAAAAAAGGAGAGAAAACAACTTAAAATGGTTTTAATTTGAGTAAAAAGTTCATGAAGTCATTTCATCAAACATGTTATAAGCATAAATGAAACAGAGTACTTGCACCAAAATTTCAAAAATTAACACCACAAATCTCTTACAATAAAACAAAATAATTAATTATTCAATGTTATAACATGCACAATAATATAGAAAAAATCGGGAAAGTATGTAAATGAAACCCTAAAATGCATATGAAAATTTCGGAATAGATATTACCTCAATGGTAATAAGAGAAGAGCGGTCAATAATCATGGTGAGAAGATCCACCACAATTAAATAAGAGAATGAGTGAAAATAGTTTTAAAATTAGAGAAAAATGAGATGAGTAGAGAGTATCTTCTAAGGGAGATTGGTGTTGCAGGAAAGGTTGAGGAAAGTTGTATGCAAGGGAGGTTGGGGAGGTTGGTAAAAATAAATTAGCCCTTTTATAGTGTGTACACATGGCATTTTTGTAAATTGAATGTATTTGTCCAATCCTACATAGGACCTCTTTGGACCATGGTGGGTGGGTCTTGGGAGTTGGGAGAATTCCTCCAAAAGGTTGAATCCTCAACCTCAAGGCCCCCATGCCCCATCCCGACAAGGCATATGGAAGGATGTAATCACGGTGACTCAGTGAGCCTAATGATGGTAGCTGTTATACTTGTGCGCAACATAGGTCCAGTCCAGCACGCAAGCATTGTAACCTCCACATGATCGCTCGGGTTCCGAACCTTGATCATTTCTCCAAATTTCCCACCACTTAATCATCTTAGCTCTACCCGTGCGGTTGGGAGTTGGGAAGAATTGATATGTGACTATGTGGGGGTTGGTGTTTTTTTTCTCCCTCCAATTCAATCTATAGAAATATCTTAAATTTAGTCAATATGATTAGAAGAACTTGGGTAAAAGTTTAAAGTAAGTTTAAGACTCGTGTACTCGGGGTTTGTGGCCTCTTTCTTCTATAATGGATGATTAAAGAGCATAGGGTTAGTCGGTGTTTGTTGTGAAGCTTGCGCTGCACAAAAAGGTAAAGACATGATTTCTCTGTGGGATCAAAGAAAGAAATGACAAAGAAAAGAAAAACGTGAGCTATTTTAATATCCCAATTTTAGATGCAGTTAAAATCAAATTGAAAATTAAACTGAAGAAACGGATAATTATAAATAAGAAGAAAGAAGAAAATAGGTGAGAAAGGGAAATTTCTGGCTGTAAACACAACAGTATTTAATTGAATTTAATTGTAATTATTATACGGTGTATGTAGGATTAGGGGAAAGAAGCGGCAAAACTTTTAGGGACATGAATTCTCTTGAGATTTATTTAGCTCTTTTGACAAATAGATCTGTTTCATCCCTTTAATAGTTTCTAATTCATGCAATAGCTCTTAATGTACAAATATTATCTATTTACATGTAACCATTTTTCGTACATTAAATATACTACTAGCTTTTAAATATGTAGATTACCTTCTTTTGTTTAAAATTTAATCATTTCTAATTTCATATGCGATGTAGGTTTGATTTAAAAGAGTTCCCAAACCATAAATACTAAAGCTTACAAGTTTGTTTATTACTCCCTTTTACATACCGCAGTATGTTGACTTGTTAGTCACATCCAATTGGGTCATTAAAGTGGTGATAGATATACGTTTACCTCACTCATCTTTGGCCGACGAATAAATGTTTCTAAATAAATTTAGATTACTTTCTAATTGGGTGGCCAATGATGAGTGAAGTTAAATATTATATTTCACCATTTTTTGAAATATTTAAATGACATAAATTTATTGTTCTAAAAAGCGCTTACTCGGTCTCTTAGGATGTCTACACTGACCCAAACATTTATATTTTATTTTTCGAAAAGATATATGTACTTTTAACTTTAAGAACGCATATAGAAAACTACTAGTTGTAGATTAAGATAAAAATTATTCATATTTGTATATAGTGTTAAATGTTGTTGTTATTTAATATGAGTAATATTTATTACATAATGAAGTTAAGTAAATAAGTATATACTTTTTAGATTGTAATCGTACAATTTATTAAAAATGGATGATGTAAGCAAAAATCTACACTAGCTTTCCAAAGATTGGGGTAAGTTGTTGTTGATAATTGTTATCGAACTAGTCGTTAACGAGAAACTTTACATTAAAGTACTCAACTACATGTTCCATGAAGGATATGATATATGGAGTATCTGAAATGGTATAATAAGATATTTCTAACTTATATTTGTAATGAATCCCCTACAAGTTTGTACAGCAATTTTAATCTTGCATATTCTCAACCGTAAAACTTTACACAATTTTTCCAATTGTAAATTTATTTCCCTTTTTTAGATCAATCAGCCCTATAATTTGTTTTTATTAAATGTGTAAATAAAATGATCAAGAATGAAATCATAGAAAAGATGGAATTAATTGAAACACA